TCAGAAAGTTCTTGCGGGGCACAGAGCTGAGCCAGGCAGGGGCCTGTGGTTGGGATGAGTTTCTCTCAGTCAGGCCTGGTCAGCGTCCCTCATGGGTGGATGCAGGAACGGACCCAGGCAGGCCCGGGGTCACACTTCCAAAACTCGGTTCCCAGGGACTCTGTCATCTTCATGTCTTTCCAAGGGGGGGATGTCACCCAACAAAGCCCATCACGGGCTGGCCAGCAGAGCGCACAGCCCCGGAACACTGACATCGGGGCAGTGAAGGAAAGCAGCAGGCTTCCTACAGACTCCAGGTACAGATTGCAGGGGTTTTTATGGGCAAAATTAGGGGTGAAGGGAACAGGGTGCATGACCAGCTCACGCTCATTCTCCTGATGGGCCCCTGGGGAGGTAATGGGGGGTGTTTTGTGCCTCAGTGAACGGTGTTCTGGCTCCACCTATCGGGGGCCCCCCTGCTTGTAGCCAGGAGGTGGTCTGCCTGATGGGGTCTGGGAACCTGCAAGAACATCTCTATATGCGTGTTAGAGTTTATTGGCACCCTTAAGGGAGAATAAAGGGCCCCTCGTTATGTTTATTGAGTGTGCCTTACCTCCTTATCACAACCTGTCTTTTGTAACCCCCACCTGCTTGTCAACACACCTCTGTGGGGCATGGGATTCTCTTAGATGTGTTAACGGGAAGTCTGAGAGGCTCCCCCATAAAGGGGGCCCACCTCCTCTGCTTCACAGAGTTTGAGGAAGAAAGAAGGGTCCATGGTATCCCTGGTTCGTGCTGGTCTCAGCCTGTGGACAGTAAGTCTTCCATCCAGAAACACCTGCGGGGCTTGCCTGGGCCTGGGGGGCTTCCCACTACATCTCCCCTTTCCACCCAATGTTACCACTGGATCAAACTTTTGGTTCTTACTCTGATTGTGGATGCCCTTCAGCAGCAACCGTCGAGAAAGTCGGCAAAAGAGAGGTTTCTTCCAGATGACACAGCACACCTGGGGCCACACAGAGATCAGGTAAAGGGAGCCCTCGGCCAGGGCCCTCTCTTTATTGGGATCTGGGGAGGGGAACCTAGGGCTTCCTGGGCTCACTCCTTCCTGCTGAACTGGAAACATAAGAGGAAGAACTTAAAGGTGGGGAAGAGAAACCATGAGTGGCCCAGTGGGCAGTTAACTCAAATCAAGGGAGAGCTGTACCTCAGAGGAGCCTCCATGGGGGGAGGAGGCCTGGCTCTAGGTCTGTCCTGAGGCTGGCAGGGGGTCTCCGGGAGTGGGTGCCTCTGACATGGGGGCCTTGGCAATCAAAAGTGAAGCCATCCACTTTCTCCACAACAAACAACTGTCAGAGCTCCACTCCAGCTAGTTGCTACCCAGAGAACATCTCCTGAGTTATGTAACTCAGTATTTCTTGCGGGGTTATTTTTTTTAAGTGCATATTTTTTCTTCAGTTGAGTTGACGTACAACCTTATATTGGTTTCAAGTACACAACACAGTGATTCAACAGTTACACACATGATTAAATCCTTACCCCCTCTAGTGCGGTTACTGTCTGTCAACATAGGAAGATGTTACATGACCATTGACTATGTTCTCCATGCTGCACTACATCTCCAGGACCAACTCACCTATCAAAACGAACACAACAGCAGCAGACTCAGACACTGCGAAGTGACTGGTGGTTACCATGGGGGATGGGGTGGGCAGGGATGGGGTAAAGAGGCACAAAAATGTCAATCATAATATGGGTGGTTAATTTTTTAGTGTCTCCTCTATAGAGTGTGGGGTCTATGAGGGCAAGGATTTTCACTTTTTTATTCCTAGTCCTTGGCATACAGCAGGCATGCCGGCACCTCATGTCAGTGCAGTGGGTAGAGTGGTTACCTCTCCCAATGTGAAGAGACAATGTAATGCCACTTCCCCCTACCCTGAAGCCAGGAGGCCCAGAAGGGTAGGCTACTCTCCCAGCCACTAAAACATAAATCTCAACTGGTTACTCCAAATGGCACCATCAAAATTTATCCTCTGGGAACAGTGAAGGCTTGAGAGCTGAGTTACAGACATGTAATCAGCTTTCTTTGTTACACATTCAAGACTCTGACTGTGAAATGTGAGTCAAGTGCCCACACCATTCCAGAACAACACTCTCTCCCCTACCCCAAGCAGTTCTCTTGGCCTGTAAAAGCCGGGACAAGCTTATCAGAGGACGTGATCCTTGGCTAACAATATAACAGGACAGTGACTCAGACTGATGGTGCTCTGTGCCTCCCTGAGGCCCTGACAGCCTGTCCACCTACCCTGATAGCTGAGACTAATGCTTCCCTGAATGTTCTTGGAGATTCAACTTTGACTGATGGCTGAGGAGACAGAGAAAGCAGATAAGCTCTTCTCTCTGGATGAGGGTGCTATGTTTCTCCTACCTGTGTAAATGGCGTAAGGCTGTACCATAATTACCTGTTAATCTGAGTAGTATCTGTTCACAGTCACATTTGTACCCCTAGCATTTAGGGAAGTGTTGAAAGCACACGATGAGGCATTAGTACAGGGATGAGTAGATGAGAGGCACAGGGTGTGAGGGCATCTCCAGACGACTCTAAGTGCTCGAGTCCCATGTTGGCTGCTCCCTTCATGGAAGGGAAGGGCTCAGAGACTGTGCCTTCTTTTGTTTCCCCTGGTAGAGCCAGGCCTTTGCCCTGGTTAGGACACCGTGCCGGCTACTAGACTCCCGGCAATGACCTAGCCTAGTGCTGTGGGGATAGATTCCAACCAGCTGGGTGAGGCCCCAAGGTAAACATGCAGGCAGATGGTCACATTAAGTTTAGTTACGAAATCATCAGAGTCCACTATGCATTTTGAGAAAGATGAAACCATATTAGTTCCCACAGGGGTTTTGTCTCCAAGAAGAATAAGAGAGGCTTTGTGGTCAGGTGAGAGAATTAAGTTGTCAGTCGTTCTCAGGTGACACTAATCTTTCCTTGACTGGGTGAAGTCCATGCACCCCTCTGGCTGGGAACACAGGGAGGGAGATGCCAGGGGACAAGTCCCTCAGTATGGTTGTGACTTGGGTTCCCTGTGCTCTTGCTGGGGGAGGTGGAGCCTCTGTCCTAGACACCCATGGAGGGGAGTCTCCATGGAAACAGGGTAGAGGTTTACCTGGGTGGGAGGCTGGGCCTTGGGTCTCACTGTTTCCCCAGTGACCCTCATCAAGGAAGGGCAAACACTGAAAATGGCATTTCAAAGTAGCTGACTCTTCAATCTCTCTTAATATTAGCTTATGTATCATGTTGTTATGACCAATGGCTGATGGGAAGCCACTTTCAGTCAGTGAGCCTCAGTTTCTACATCTGTAAAATGGGGACCATAGTATCATCCTATTGAGCTATGCACAGAGAGGGCACCAGGAAGGGCAAATTTATTGGGTTTCCTGGGATTTCTTTCCTATTTTTTCCGGGTCATCTTCCAGATTCCCAGTCTGTCCTTTGCTAGTGTTCAAGCTTGTGGCCATTTCCCTCCTGAATCACCTCTTTGTGGACCATTGTCACACTCCAGAGCTATGTAGCCACATAAACATGGGTTTCCCAGGCTAGGCAGAGGGGCACTGGTCAGAGTGAGCGACGAGCTGGGGTGACTCCCTGATTCTCAGCCCTCAGAGCTCTTCCTGCAGGCATGTGGCAGGGCTCACACAAGGCTCTGGTTGCTCCTTACCCTTACCAGCCCCTCACTGCCTGTTAAAAACCCTTTTCACCAAAAAGCAGGAAGCCATCTGCTCCAACCCCTTTGCCCCAGAGAAAAAGCTCATGTCACCTGTTTGGAGTCTGCATGCTGCGTGCCTGTGTGTCTGTGACGTGACTTCTGCCGCTTCATTGGTGCCTAAGACAGTTGGGGACCACTTGGCCATCTGGGCTGCTTTCTCCTCTTTCTCCCTCACACCCATTGATCTTTCCAGACAAGGCAGCCAGTCTTTGGTGTAGAATCTGCCTAATGGTTCTCCACTGCAGGACCGTCTGCAGGGCTGGACGGGAAGGAGCAGGAATAGATGTCAACTGATGCAGCTGTCACTGTCCCATCCCTGTCCTGCCTCTTTCAGGGGCCCTTTTACCAACGGGACCCTGACCCTCAGCCTGAAGGTGCAGAGATGGTGGCACATGCATAGCCAGGCCATCTTGTTGTATATTAACACCCAGGAGGATGGTGTGGTCACCCAGAGCCACAGGAACAGGACGCACGGGGGCCCAGCAAACTCCCCTCCACCAGCACAATTCCACCAACCTTCCTGTTTACCCACTGAGCATGGAGTGCTCTGCTAGAGACTAGGGCTATGAGGGTGACTCACACCAAGATAGGCCCTTGAGAAGCTCTCAATCTGGTAAGATCACTAGGTGCAGAGACCAGCAACCATGCTGCAGGGCAGAGAAGACAATAATAGAATTGGTAGGGGGAGAGGTTGCCCCGGGGAGGATGTGCTTTATCTGTTCAAGGAGGTTGGTGGTGAAAGACTATTACAGAAAGGGCTCTGTCTGAGCTGGGTTTTTTTGAAGAACATTATGTTTACTAGACTCCCCCCTTCACCAAGTCCCTCCCACAAACGCCATCACTGTCCATCAGCGTAATAAGATGATATAGAATCACTACTTGTCTTCTCTGTGCTGAGCTGGGTTTTGAAGGAGGAGTAGGATTCTTTTAGCAGACACAGGCATATATCTAGGAACAGGAATCTGTGTGGTAAAGATATGGAGACCTAGTTTGTTTGAAGAATTTCAAGTGTTTTGGATTTGGGGCAGCCATGGCAACAAGGGCAGACTGGACAATTAAGGAACTTTGCTGGAATTTCTGTAACCTGTAAACTACCTGGTAACACTAACTGGTGTATTGGTTTCCCACAAATATGAACTCAAAGGAGTTCAGCTGGGTGTGTCCATGATGCCCTGTCAACTATCAAGGCCAAGAGGGCACCTGCAGGTGGAGCACATGGTCCCTTCTACTGGCTGCAGCCCAGACCCACCCCATCTCCCAGCACATAAATATGCCAGCCTCACAGAATCCTGCTGGGTGGGAAGGAAAGATCTGCACATACAGACCAGCAAAGAGTAGCTCATCCTGTGGAAGGAAACTCAGAGGAGAGACTCTCGGAAGGACAGCGGCCATGGACCTGATCCCAAGCTTTTCCACGGAAACCTGGGTCCTCCTGGCTACCAGCCTGGTGCTCTTCTACCTGTGAGTAACTGTCCAGCTCACCTCCTCTGTAACCTTGGACTAGGGTGCCATTCAGGCCCTCCTTTCCCTTATGTGTTTTGAAGATCTGAAAAAATTTAGCGAAAGGGAAGATACCATGCCCATCTCCCAATTTCTGAGGCTAGGAGGGCTTGGGGACATTATTGCTTATGGGGATGGTCTCATGCGCTACCAGGGTGGGCCTAGACTAATGCACCAGATTGCAGCAGAGACAGGTATAAACAACTGGCCACTGAGTAGCAGGCTCCTCACCCCACTCCCAGGCTCTGGGGACTCCAGGAGCAGGAGGATGTGGTTGGGTTTTTTCTCATGATGTTGGCCTTCCGGGTTCTGTGTCGGCTGCAGGAGATGTGTAGAGGGGGTGGCCCCTGTGTCACTGAGGTGGCCCCTGCTCCCCTCCCTCCCACCATCACTAACACAGGACGCCTGGTGCATCCAGACTTCATGGGGGCTGGGAACTGCTCTGCTTTATCTTCAGACTGGCTCATCCCTCCTTTTGGTGCCCCTCCCCATCCCCCAGGAGCCCCTCCTAAGATTTGGTTCCCTGGCTGCGTAATGTGTCCCATGAGTGCTCTTAGAGCAGAGGAGAACTCTTGAACTTGTTTGCTGTTCTTTCTCCTATGAATGAAAACCATCTAGCAGAGGAATTCCTCTCAAAGGTGGGATTGCTGGCATCGTGGAGCAGGTTGGAAAGGAGTTGACATGTGGGGAGGGAAGGCCCTTCCAAGTCATGTCTGAGCTGTGTCTCAATTTCACTTTCACAAAGAGCTGGAAATCAAGAATAGTCACAAGGGACCCAAAGAGGGATGGGGGAGCTGTGTGGAGCACCAGATTTCTTATTCCCACAGTGAACAACTCCTCGTCTGGACCCTAATGTTCTATAGTGTATTTGTCATGTTCAACTCCCATTAACACCTGTTGGAGCTGCACATACGACTGCCATCTAGTGGGTAAAGATGGCAAATCACTCTGATTAGGTCAGAGCACCGCCGTCAGCAAATCCAGAGGAGCGTTGTTCCCTGGGGTCTTACAAGCATTTTGTGATCTCTGCTGGAGAGAGGGGTGCGTCATCAGGGAAGCTAGTTCCCCCATTTCTGACCCAGACAGACCACTGCCATCTCGTCTTGAATCCCGAAGACGTAAAAGCCAGGTGGACAGAGGCTCCGTGGGTTTCTGCAGAAACGAGGAACTCAAATCCACCAGCTCAGCCTGGGTTTAGGGGTAGAGCATGGAGTGCTCCACAACCTGGGGAGGGGGCTGCTCCTCTCCCGGAGCAATCTATGGTTGCTGTGTCTTTATTTTCTTAACTACAACTACAGGGCTTTCAATAGGGGAGGGGCTGGTGCCTGAGGCGGGGACTCAAGCACCAGCAAGCCTGCAGCAGCTCTGCCAAGGCCCCATCCCCGTTCTTCGTGGTTCCTGCTCCCGCGACTCCGGAGCTGAAGGACCTCTCCTTCAATCACCTCCCCCATGGCACATCGCAGCCTGCCTTCTCCTTCTGCCACTTTCTGCTCCACTAGTGCGTCTCTCAACAGCGCGATCTCGGTTTTCAATAGCTTTTCTTCCTTTTTCAGAGTATCCTACAACTCGCATTTCCGTTCTGCCACTTCCCGCCGAAGCGTACTTCTTTCCTTGGTAACCTTTTCCAGTGCTGTGAGACCAACCGACAGTAGGTCCAACAGTTTCCAACCAAGAGTCCTTGCCGCTGCAGGGGCACTCAGTTCCCCTAAGGAGTCCCCTGTTTTGTGGAGGGCCAACTCCACTGCCTCAGGCATCCCTACCCTGCCCCAATTCTGGGGAAGGGCTCAGTCCTATAGGAGGCAAATCACTCCAGACCAGTATCCATTGGGGGATCCCCAGGTGACTCTCCACCATCCACAGAGGGATCCCCGAGGTCTCTCCACCATCCATAGGGGCAGCCCACTGAAATATCACATCCATGCGAACACATCTAAGTGTGCCTGTCGGCAGGGGCAGATGAGTTAGTGAACCTGTGACCACTCTGATATGAGAGTCATCCACGTAGGTCAGGATGGAGAGGAGAACATCCCTCCCTCTGAGCAGACCTCCCAGAGATGCTCCTTGGTCCTGGGACCACAAAAGCTCACCCACAGAGGTGAGCATCTCTTCTGCTGCAGTCAGGGACAGGGACACCATCTAATTCACACTGTGCGGGGTGTGTCTGGCAATGGGGCTGTCACTAGATATAGTCACCACCAGGCAGCAAATACAGGAGCCTTAGAAGATGCCAGTGCAACCAAGGGCCAGTAGCTGTAGGCAATGCCCTCCTCATGCCTACCCAAGGGAAACACAGGAAAGATGACGGGCTTTACTGTGAGTTCTTCATTTGTACCAACAACAGCATTACTCTCCTCAAAAGAGGGAAGCTGGCAAGAAAGGAAAGAATTACCCAGCCCACTGTTTACAGTCTACAGAATGTTAAGAACACTCTGACATGAAGTCCTCAGCTGCCGTAGGCTAATCACCACTAAATCGGTGGGGGTCCCCAAGGAGCCAGGAAAGCAGATGATGAGCAAATGTCATCATTGCCCTTGGACTGGCTGCTGGTGTTTCCAGCCCACATACTTCGGCCTAGGCTTCCCGGTTCCCGTTCCAAGTCAGTGCCTGGCAGCCCTGGCAGCTGCTCCACAGTCCCTGTGACCTGCCTTCTCATTCACTTCATAGATATGGGACCTACTCGCATGGACTTTTTAAGAAGCTGGGAATTCCTGGGCCGACACCTCTGCCTCTTTTTGGAACTGTCCTGTCTTACCGCAAAGTGAGTGTTGTTTGAGTTCCCACTTTGCTACTTGTGGTCGCAAATCCCAGCTTAGCTCACCAATAAAACTGCCCGTCCCCAGGAGGAAGTTCTGAGGTCACACTTTCCTGAAACGCGGTGTGTACAGACACCCAGCATTGCCAGGTGCTGCCCAGCACAGGCCTTGATGTTCCACCTTGTGAGCATCGTAACGACATTTTTGTTTCTGCTCTGTGCAGATTCCCTGGATGGCACGTTTGTACAGAGCATTCGGAGAAAACCACAACAGGGTGCCTCGTAGCAGTTCACTAAGTGTGTGAGCTGGAGTCAGACTGTGCAGTGCATAGCATGAGCTCTAGGCAGTGTTTCTCCTCCCCTCCTGGATAGCTGTGCACCTGCTGTTTGTTGGTCAGCCCGAGGATCCATCCTGGGGTCATTTGTGCATGCCGGAGTTCTCGCAGAACTGCTGAGCCTGCGCTTGTGTCCACGGCAGTGCTCCACTCTTTGCTCCCCAGGGCATCTTTGGGATTTGAGAGATGGACAGGAGCTTTCCGCCTCCTTCTGGGCCTTCAAAGGAGGCAGCGTGTGTGCGTGGGATGAGTGGCCAGTGGGGGTAACTGAGACAGGATGGTGGTTGTCCAAACTCAGATATTTGGTCTCTGAATGAGCTGTTACAAAGACAGAATCATTAGATAAAGTCACTAGAAAGTGTATGATTTGATGAAATTGTTCAAGTTTCACTGAGCAGAATGGTGATGCATGAACTGTGAATCTTGGTGGAGCCTTTGTGGCTAATCCTGCTCTGACCCCTCACCCTGGGTCCGGGCTCTGGACAGAAGGGACCAGCTCACGTCCAGGAGGCCAGGAGGCAGTGCCTTGCAAGCAGGCTGCCCTCTGCCTCAGATTTCCTTTCCTGCAGACACAGGCTTGTCTCTCAGATCCTAATTCTCCCAACTAGGCCTAGTATCCCAGAAACGTGCTGTATTTTTTCCTAGTCACACATTTTTCCCTGTGAGAAAGCAGTAAGTTCCTTTCCACTTTTCCCAGATCCACTCCTTAGTAGAGGCGCCTGAATATCCACATTTCTGTCACCATCTTTGTATAGTTAAAACCTCAAATACCACAGCTGAAACTTAGTGAGAGGAAGAGGCATTTTTTAATTCCAGAAGTGAAAACTGAGAGCCAGCGTGGTGCTTTCCTTATTCCCGCCTGCAGTGGAAGCACCTTCCCACCTTCTCAGGGTTGAGCTGGAAACTGGAAAGCGAGTTCTCTGGTCATTCATTCATTCACTCACTCACTTTCTACTCAGTAAGCATGCCTGAGTCTTATTTGAATCCTCTAGAGGAAAGGAGGTCCCTGATGTCTTCAAGTTCCTAATTCCACTAGAATTCTAGAGAGGCTCGTGAGACAAAGGAAGGCTGCTGAGGAGTACTCAGGTGTGGACATGAACGTTCCTGTAGCCAGGACTCTCACCTGACCCTGGATGGCTAGCTCACTACACACGTGGGCAATATGTTGCTGTTGACTCTATATAAAGAGCTCTGCCCAGTGATCTGGGCGACACGATGGCATGGCTGCAAGGCTGTGGGAGAGCAGAGCAGAGGCTGGAGTGGTGGCAGAGCTGAGGACAGAGCCTGGGACGGCTGTGCAGGCCGAGAGGCCCAGAGGCAGAGACTGGCTTGCTGTGTGCAGACTCGCTCTGAGTGGATGGGATTTTTGTAATTGACCTGCCACTGTGGAAATAAATTTGGGTATAACCCTTTCACCCCAATAACATTCTACTGTCATTTCTTTGGTCACACTGAATCCATAGTGAATTTGCCTGGGGCTGAAACCCATTGGCAAGATATCAGGCCACTCTGCCTCCCCCAGCTCGGTGTACTCAGGTGTCCATGGAGGTGATAACTCAGAATTTGGAGATGTTAGAGACAACACATGCACAGACAGGTCAGAAAGACAAGCTCTTACCTGGTATCCACAGACACGGTAAGTGATCAGTACCCACCATCCTGGGAGAAAACTCAGGAGTGATTTTAAATTCTCCTTCTCAAGTCTCTCCCCTATTTCCTCCCCTTTGCCCTCAGACAGGGGAGGAGAAATGCTGCCTAGAGCTCAAGCTACGCACTGGACAGGCTGACTCCAGCTCACATGCTTAGTGAACTGCTACGAGGCACCCTGTTGTGGTTTTCTCTGAATGCTCTGTACAAACATGCCATACAGGGCTTCCCTCTAACTGCCAGTGAAAGGTAGTTTGCTTGATTTCATGCCATTTGAGTCATTTATGAACCGATTTGAGGTAGAGTTCAGTCCATTCACATAAACAATATAATTTCATTTCTCCTTGCAGGGCTTTTGGGATTTTGACAACAAATGTTTTAAAACCTATGGAAAGATGTGGGGGTGAGTATTCTGGAAACTTCCACCGCATAGACTTGCTATGCTGAGGCCCCCATTGGTGTGGAGGCCAGTCTCAGTGCAGAGCCTCTTGAGATGAGGTCATTTGCCAGAAAGCTTTTGGGGGCTGGTCCTACGAGGGCTCCCATCTGTCACAGGCGTCCAGGTCTATGGTCTGCATCAGGCCTGGAGGGTGGCAGGGCATCGCTTCTCTCCAGACGTTGGTGGCTCAGGGACTGTAGCGTCCCACCCTGCCCATGCCGCGCTCTCCCTTTCTCTACATTTTCCTTCCTTACGTCCCCTTTGATTGCATAGAATGCATTATTTCAGACCTTCTAATATGTGCTCATGAATGCATTCTGTGACCTTTTTCCCACATAATTCACCTTTCATTAAAAGCCAAAAATCCTTTGTTTGGATTTAAGTGCCATTTTGAAGAAGGACCAGAGGACAGTGTGATTAAGTTCGTACTGAACCTGGTGCCAGGGGCCCATCCCCAGTAATGGGCATTTTGACAGCGAGGTCAGGCCGAACTGGGATGTGTCACATACAAGGAGTCCCTTTGTGTGGTGTGTGGGTCACAGTGAGCCTGCCCTGCCATTAAGGGGCATCTCCTGCATGGAGCTCAGGGCCCTCTGGACCCAGGTTTGAGAAGAAACATGTGATGAGAAGAAAATATTGAACAAGTGTATTATCCATGCTCTTTTGTGTATTGTTATCTTCTTTGTCCTTTGTTTCAAATTTTTCTAACCTTGCTGCTATGAATTACCTCTTTATAATAGTTAAAATTATATTTCTACAAGTAAGCTAATTGTAGGAAATAGGGCAAAAATTATTCATAATCCTGCTCTCACTTTTGGAGTGTTCCAAGTTTTTTCATGTGCAGACACATTTTTACATATTTATGATCAATATCTCTATGATTTACATCTAATATTATGTTATACATAGTGTTAATATTTTTATTTATCTTCCAATTCTAATTTTTAATGGTTGAGTGGGTGGTCTCTCCCTCAGTGTTTTTTGTTTTACTTTACTTGCCTTCAATCATCTACTAACCTAACTTCCCTTCTGAAAATGAAATGTTTTAAACATACAAAAATGATGAAGAATGGTATAGGAAATACCCAGGTACACACCACCTAGACTTAACAAATGTTCTAATGTTCTTTCTAACCCTGATCTCTAGAGTATGAACTATGTAATTTCAGGATGAAATTCCAGACTTCCAGGTGTGGTTCCAGCTGCAGACACCAGCTTGTTAAATGTCATCAGCTCTTTTCCCCTCACAGGTTTTATGATGGTCGACAACCTGTGTTGGCTATCACGGATCCAGACATGATCAAAGCCGTACTAGTGAAGGAATGTTATTCTTTCTTCACAAACCGGCGGGTAGGCACCCATTTTTTAATTTACAATTGTATTTATTCATTTATTAAATGTTTATTTTGAAAGAACAGTTCCATGAAGTTGCCCCCAGAATGTACAGGGCATGTACCCTTCATCCAGTGTCCCCCAGTGGTATCATCTGCATAATTGTAGTACAATAGCAAAGCAGGAAGTTTGACATGGGTACTATCCACAGAGCTAATCAGATTTCAGCAGTGTTATGTGCCCTCATCTGTGTTTGTCTTTGTGGGTGTGTGTTGCTCTATGACACTACCATTTATATAGATTAGCATAACTCCCACCACAATCAAGTGACAGAGCTGTTCCACCCCTAACAGGCTCCCTCCTACTATTCTTTTATAGTCACAGTGTTCAGCTTGTCTTTTCCTCTTATCAGGGTCCTCAGCAGAACAAACTTGTTTATTTTGATAAGGCTCATCTATTGATTTTTCCTTTTATGGGTTCTGAATTTGGTGTCAAGTCTGAAACCTCTTCACCTAGTCCTAGGTCCCAAAGATTTTCTCCAATTCCTTTGTCTAAATGTTATATAGTTTTGTGTTTTACATTTAAGTCTATGATCCATTTTGTGTTAATTTTTGTATAAAGGGTGAAATTTAGGTCAAGGTTCATTTTTTCCCTATGGATGCTACAGCACAGTTTGTGAAACTGTTTTTTCACCATTGTCAAAAATGAGTTGGGCCTGTTTGTGTGGGTCTATTTCTCATTCTCTGTTCTGTTCATTAATCTGTGTAATTATTCCTCCTCCAGTACCCCCAACCTTGATTACTGTCACTGTATAGTAAGTCTTAAAATCATGTAGTGATTCCTCCCACTTTTTTTCGTAATAATTTTATCTATTCTAGGTCCTTTCCTTTTCCATACAAATTTAGAATAAGTGTATGTATGTTTATAAAATAGTTGCTAAGATTTTGGTAAGAATTAATTTAAACCTATAGATCAATTTGGGGAAAACCTTTATCTTTCCCAGGTCAAGTCTTTCATTCCATGAACACTGTGTATCTCTCCATTTATTTACTGTTCCTTGGAAGCCTTTCACCAGCATTTCATAGTTTTTTTATTGAAGTATCATTGATATACAATCTTATGATGGTTTCAAATACACAACACAGTGGTTCAACATGCACGCATATTGCCAAATCCTCACTCACTCCATTGTAGTCACTGTCTATCAACATAGTAAGATGTTGTAGAATCATTAATCATGTTCTCTGTACTGTGTTACCATCCCTGTGATCTACATATAATGTGATTGTGAAGTATAGTGCCCCTTTATCCCCTTCTCTCCCCCACCCACCCTCTCCAACCCCTCCACTTTGGTAACCACTAGTTCCTTCTCAGTGTCTGTGAGTTTACTGCTATTTTGTTCCTTCTGTTTGGCTTTGTTTTTATACCCCACAAGTGAGTGAAATCATTTGATATTTGTCTTTCTCTGCCTGGCTTATTTCACTGAGTATAATACCCTCTAGATCCATTCATGTTGTTACAAATGGCAGGATTTCTTTTTCTTTTTATGGCTGAATAATATTCCATTGTGTATATATACCACCTCTTCTTTATCCATTTATCTATTGATGGACACTTAGGTTGTTTCCTTATCTTGGATACTGTAAATTGTGCAGTGATAAACATGGGGGTGCATATGTTTTTGAATCAGGGATCTTGTTTATTTTTAGTAAATTTAATCGGGTTATTTGTATTTTGGGTGTTGAAGCATATGAGTGTATTTTGGATGTTAACCCCTTATCAGATAAATCATTTACCAATATATTCTCCCATACTGTAGGATGCCTTTTTGTTCTGCTGATGGTGTCCTTTTCTGTACAGAAGCTTTTTAGCTTGATGTAGTCCCAGTTGTTCATTTTTGATGCTGTGTTCAGGAAAAAGTTGCTCATATTTGTGTTTTGAGAGATTTTTGCCTATGTTTTCTTCTAAGAGTTTTATGGCTTCATGACTTACAATCAGGTCTTTGATCCATTTCAAGTTTACTTTTGTGTATGAAGTTAGGCAATAATCCAGTTTCATTCTCTTACATGTAGCTGTCCAGTTTTGCCAACACCAGATGTTGGAGAGGCTGTCTTTTCCCCACTGTATATTCATGGCTCCTTTATTGTATATTAATTGACCATATATATATATGGATTTATATCTGGGTTCTCTATTCTGTTCCATTGATCTATGGGTTTGTTCTTGTGCCAGTATGAAATTGTTTTGATTACTATAGCTTTGTAGTAGAGCTTGAGGTCAGGGAGCATAATATCTCTAGCTTTGTTCTTCTTTCTCAGAATTGCTTTGGTTATTCAGGGTCTTTTGTGGTTCCATATGAATTTTAGAACTATTTGTTCTAGGTCATTGTAGAATGCTGTTGGTGTTTTAATAGGGATTGCATTGAATCTGGAGATTGCTTTAGGCAGGATGGCCATTTTGAAAATATTAATTCTTCCTATCCATGAGCATGGGGTAGACTTCCATTTTTTTATGTCTTCTTTAATTTCTCTCATGAGTATCTTGTAGTTTTCAGAGAAAAGGTCTTTCACTTCCTTGATTAGGTTTATTCCTAGGTATTTTCTTTTTTTTTGATGCAATTGTAAATGGCATTGTTTTCCTGATTTCTCTTTCTGCTAATTCATGCATCTATATAGAAATGCAACAGATTTCTGTGTGTTAATTTTGTATCCTGCAACTTTGCTGAATTCAGTTATTAGTTCTAGCAGTTTTTTAGTGGAGTCTTTAGGCTTTTCTATGTATAATATCATGTCATCTGCAAATAGTAACAGTTTAACTTCTTCCTTAACAATTTCAATGCCTTTTATCTCTTTGTGTTGTTTGATTGCCATGGCTAGGACCTCCAGAACTATGTTGAATACAAGTGGTGAGAGTGGGCATCCTTGTCTTGTTCCCAATCTTAGAGGAAAAGCTTTCAGCTTTTCACTATTAAGTATGATGTTGACTGTGGGTTTGTCATATATGGTCATATATATGTCATAAATATGTCATTTATGTTGAGGTATGTACCCTCTATACCCATTTTGCTAAGAGTTTTTATCATGTATGGATGTTGAATTTTATCAAATGCTCTTCAGCATCTACTGAGATGATCATGTGATTTTGTCCTTTTTGTTGATGTGATGTATGATATTGATTGATTTACAAATATTGTACCATTCTCACTTGGTCATGATGGGTGATCTTTTTGATATATTTTTGAATTCAGTTTGCTAATACTTTGTTGAGGATTTTTGCATCTGTCTCCATCAAGGATATGGGTCTGTAATTTTCTTGTTTTGTGGTGTGTTTGTTTTGTTTTGGTATTAGAGTGATGCTGGCCTCCTAGAATAAGTTTGGAAGTATTTCCTTATCTTCTACTTTTTGGAAAACTTTGAGGATGGGTATTAGCTTCTCTTTAAATGTTTGATAAAATTCAGCCATGAAGCCATCTGGTTAAGGCGTTTTGTTCTTAGGTAGTTTTTTGATTACCAATTCAATTTCATTGCTGGTATTTGGTCTGTTCAGATTTTCTGTTTCTTCTTGGATCAGTCTTGGAAGGTTGTGTTTTTCTAGGAAGTTGTCCATTTCTTCTAAGTTGTCCAGTTTATTGGCATATAATTTTTCATAAAATTCTCTAATAATTCTTTGTATTTCTGTGGTGACCATTGTGATTATTCCTTTTTTGTTTTTGATTCTGTTTATGTGTGTTCACTCTCTTTTTTTCTTAATAAGTCTGGCTAGGGGTTTATCTTTTTTATTTATTTTCTCAAGGAACCAGCTCCTGATTTCATTGATTCTTTCTATTACTTATTCTTCTCTATTTTACTTATATCTGCTCTGATCTTTATTATGTCCCTCCTTCTACTGACTTCAGGTTTCATTTGTTCTTCTCTTTCTAGTTTCTAATTGTGAGTTTAGACTGTGTATTTGGGATTATTCTTGTTTCTTGAGGTAAGCCTGTATTGCTACATATTTTCCTCTTAGAATTGCTTTCACTGTATCCCTCAGGTTTCAGGTTGTTGAGTTGTTGTTTTCATTTGTCTCTGTATATTGCTTGATCTCCATTTTAATTTGGTCATTGAGCCATTATTTAGAAGAATGTTGTTTAGCCTTCATGTATTTGTAGGCTTTTTTGTTTTCTTTGTGTAATTTATTTCTAGTTTCATAGCATTGTGGTCTGAGAAGCTACTTGATACAATTTCAGTCTTTTTGAATTTACTCAGGCTCTTTTTTGTGGCCTAGTATATTATCTAGTCTGGATAATGTTCTATGTACACTTGAGAAGAATGTGTATCCTGCTGCTTTTGGGTAGAATGTTCTGTATGTGGCTGGTAGGTCCCTCTGATCTAATGTATTGTTCAGTGCCTTTGTTTCCTTACTTATTTCCTGTCTGGCTGGTCTGTCTATTGGTGTGAGTGGTGTGTTAAAGTTTCCTAAAATGAATGCATTGCAGTCTATTTCCTCCTTTAATTCTGTTAGTATTTGTTTTACATATGTAGGTACTTCTATATTGGGTGCATAGATATTCATAGTGGTTATATCCTTTTGTTGGACTGACTATTTTATCATTATGTAATGTCCTTCTTTGTCTCTTGTTAATTTCTTTGTTTTGAAATCTATCTTGTCTTATATAAGTACTGCTACTCCTGCTTTTCTCTCCCTATTATTTACATGATCTATCTTTTTCCATCCTTTCACTGTTATTCTGTGTATGTCTTTTGTCTGATATGAGTCTCTTGTAGGCAGCATATAGATGGGTCTTGTTTCCTTATCTATTCTGCCACTCTGTGTCTTTTGATTGGTGCATTCACTCTATTTACATTTAGGGTCATTATCAATAGATATATACTTGTTGCCATACAGGTTTTGATTTGTGGTTACGAAAGGTTCAAGGATAGCTTCCTTACTATCTAACAGTCTATCTTAAATTTCTGATTACTCTACTTCAAACCCAATCTAAAGGTACTTTTCCCCCATTTTTCTTCTTCCTCTTCCCCACTTTATATATTAGGTATCATATTTTGCATTATTTGTGTATCCCTTGACTGATTTTGTGAGTAGTTAATTTAATTTCATACTTGCTTGTTAATTAATTGGTCTACCACCTTTACTGTGGGTTTATTTTCTCTGGTGACAGCTATTTAGCCTTAGGAACATTTCCATCCAGAGCAGTCCCTTTAACATATCCTGTAGGGCTGGCTTACTGGTAGTGAATTCCTTCAACTTTTGTTTATCTGGAAACTATTTGATCCCTGCTTCAAATTTAAATGATAATATTGCTAGCTAGAGGATTCATGGTTGGAGATCCTTCTATTTCATTACATTAAACATATCATGCCACTCCATTTTGGTCTGTAAAGTTTCTGCTGAGAAGTCTGCTGATAGCCTGGTGGGGTTTCCTTTATAAGTAATCTTTTTTCTCTCTCTGGCAGCTTTCAGTACTCTCTCCTTGTCCTTGACCTTTAGGATTTTAATTATTATATATGTCCTGATGTTGTCTTCCTAGGGTTCCTTTTGTTAGGGGATCTCTGTACTCCATGACCTAAGTGTCTATTTCCTCCCCCAGTTTGGGGAAGTTCTCAACAATTATTTCAACAAGGAAACTTTCTATAGCTTTGTCTCTTTCTTCTTCTTCTGTTACCCCTATTATGAGCATATTGTTCCATGTGGATTGGTCACACAGCTCTCTTATTCTTCTTTCATCATAAAGATCCTATTTTCGGCTTCATTGTTTTCTTGCTCCCTAATTTCCAGGTCATTTACAACTTCTTCAACCTGTGAAAATTTGCTCTTAGATCCCTCCATTGTATTTTTCATTTCAGATACTGTATTCTTCTGAGTGATTCTTTTAGAGGTCATCTATCTTTTTGTTGAGGTCCTTCCTGAGCTCTTGAATATTTTTCTGTAGATCTATGAGCATGTTTATGACTTTTACTTTGAAGTCTTTATTAAGAAGATTGGAGATTTCAGTTTTACTCAACCCTATTTCTGGTGTGTTGTCTGTAGTTTTGCTTGGACCAAATTCCTCTGCCTTCTCATTTTTTTTAGTGTTTCCTATGGAATAGTAGCTTTATGTAGGAGACACTCTCCAGTGCCCAGAAGCTCAAATCCTGTGCAGGATCCACATCTGTTGGGGATGTCCAGGGGGTGGGACACCCCATGTGCAGGGGGTGGGACACCTTTCTGTCTGGCTTGTAGTGATGTGATTTCAGGTGGGCTGTGAGGGCCATCAGCTGATTGCACATGCAGGGAAAATATTTGGAGGTGTGCTGCTGGAGTTGCTGTGGGCAGAGCTGCAGGGGCTGCAGGCAAGTGGGACCTGTGCCTGTTGGGAGGAAGGAGCCCCCCCCAAGGCTGGCTTTCACAAGCAGTTCCCCATCTGGCCTGAAACAGGACTGAGAAAGGTAGGAGGATCTCCCTCTGCCTACCAGGGAGTAAACTCTGATTCTGCTTCCAGCCAGCAGGCTGCACACCACAGGGAGGAGCCTCAGAGCTGCATTGCCAGTGAGGAGGATGGAGCACCTGGGGTTCCTGCAAGTTGCTAACCTGTTGGGCCAGGGTTGGGCTGGGGAGTTATTGTCCACCTAACCTTTCTCCTGAGCAGAGAGAACTGTGTACCCCTGCCCTACTGGTGCCCCTCTCATTGAGTGGAGGTCTTTCAAACTGCCTATTTGTCTTATGTCTCGGGAGGCCAATACAGCATACCTGTTGTCCACAAAGGGGTGAAATCTCACCCTCACCAAGTGTTCCACCTGTCTTTATTGCCCAGCCTCCTTAATCACTGGAGCACCATGTAATGTGGGTTTGTGTTCCCACATCATATCTCCAGGGCCGGGTGTTCACTGGTACAGGGCTCCTACTCCCTCCCTGCACTGTTCCTCTTCCTCCTGCCTGTGCACTAGGGTTGGGGGAGGGCCTGGATCCCACTGGACCACAGCTTTGCCACATTACCATTTTCTGTGAGGTCTTCTCTTTTTTCCCAGATGTAGGTAGTCAGTTCTGCAATCTTCAGGTTGTTTTCAGGTTTAGTTGTATTTGCTGTATTTTCATGTTCTATGTGGTTTTGGGAGGTTTCTACCTTGATTTCATACACCATCATCTTTTATCCAGAATCTGCATTGTGATTTTTGACATAGATATCACATACATGTTTGATTAAATTTACACCTAAAGTATTTCATCTTCTTTGGAGTGATTGTTCATTGCATTGTGTTTTTAATGCATTTCAGCATATCATTGTTATTATGTAGAAATGCAGTTGATTTTTGTGTGTTGATGTTGTTTCCTACAACCTTGCTGAGCTCATTTATTAGTTCTAGAGGTTTTTTTACTATTGCTTGAGATTTTTTTCATTGACAATCATGACACTTGAAAATAGAGACACTTCTTTTTTTCCTCTGCAGCTCTGTGCATTTTCTTTTTCACTTTATATCTACTCTCTCAGATTTCTAGTATACATCAGTTTGTCCAACTAAAGTCATGATGTATACATTAGGTTTCTAGAACTTATTCATTGTATTTTCTAAGTTTGTAGCCTTTGATCACCATCACCCCTACCTGCTCTCCCTAGAACCTTATACCTACTATTCTATCTACCCTCTGTTCCTACAACCTTGACTTCATTTTTTTAGATTCCACATATAAGTGAGAATGAAGTGATATTTGCTCTTCTGTGTTGGGCTTAATTCACTTAGCATGTCATCCCCCAGACTCTTCCATGTTGTGGGAAATGGCAGGATACCCTTCTTTCTTAAGGATGAATAATAATCCATTCTACGTATGCATGTATATTTCCTTACTGAAGTTATTTCATAAAGTCTGGAAGAGCTAACTGCTATTATTTTTGGATCTTGGAAGTTATTCTGCCATCTTGGTGATGTCACTCACTCTTCCATCATTAAGTATGATGTTGGCTCTATATTTTCTTTAAGGTGTATTTGACATCAAGTGGAGGAAGTTTCTCTCTCTCTCTAGTTTGTGAGTGTTTATCATGAAAGGGTGTTGGAGATACGTATTTTAAAGCAAAATATAATTTTGGAAGATAGAGGAAAGTTGCAAACATGTTGGTTGCAAAGGCCAGTCACAAGGTGAGAAACAGGATTACATCTCTCTTTTCCCTTCTCCCCTTGGGTTAAAAAATGTAGGGGAAGATGATTCCAGGTAATGCCAACATTTCTTCAAAATATCAAATAGATTTTTAATGTTTTAAGTATTAATATATTTTTTAATCACCATATCAAGACATCCATTTTTCAAGATCATGCTGTAGATACATGTAAACATAGAACAGGTCTGGGGCAGATAGTTGGCCAGGCTACCTGGCTGTGTGTCTTAAATCCAATTCTACTCTGCAGAGCCCAGGAGAATATACTGGTTCTTAACACTCTATTCCCCTGGAAGAATAGTTTTCCTTTCACATGGGTGAAGTGCATATTAAAGATGATTGCAACATAAACCTGGAAACTGCATCAGATGCCTGGATGTCTCCTGAACCCTCACAGTGAGCTAGGCCTTATGGGATAAATATTTATTGAGCATCTAGCATAAGGCCTGCTACCAAGTAGACCCTCACTAAATATTTGTTGGATATTTGGTGCCCATTTAGCAAATTTTACACAACACTAGAGACCTCCCCAACTGTTGGTCTAAATTTCCTTTGCTTTTGACTATAGAAACTTGGCCCAGTTGGACTTATGAAAAGTGCTCTCACAGTGTCTGAGGATGAAGAATGGAAGAGAATACGAGCATTGCTGTCCCCAACTTTCACCAGTGGAAAACTCAAAGATGTAAGAAGATAAGAGGACTTCTAATTAGTAATGTACAGTAACTTTTGCATCTGCAGACAGGTGCAAAATATGACAGTCCATTTCCAAAAGGCAGTCTGCTTGTTTACAGCTTTCTAGAAAAGTAATTTTGTCTTTATGTGTTAGAAGAGACATGGTAAAATTTGTTATAAATTGCAACTTCCTGCTCCATGCTTGTGAATGCCATGTCCTTCTAGCACGTACCTTGGCATTTATTTTGAGTGCGTCTTATTTTCCATCTAGATGTTCCCCATCATTGGCCAGTATGGAGATGTGCTGGTGAGGAACCTGAGGAGGGAGGCAGAGACGAGCAAGCCCATCACCATGAAAGAGTAAGGGGGAAGGCAGCTGCTGGGATTCTGAGCTCTGCCCTGAGGCCTTCCCGCTGCTGCCACGGAGCTGACACTCCCGCAGAGGAGTTACCCCAGTGCCAGAGCAGAAGCGGGTGTGTGGGGGTAGAACTCCAGTGGGTCACCAGGGAGTGACCAACAGATGGGGCAGCCAGCAGAGAAAGGGTCTGCTCCTGTGCACACGGGTACTTCACTTTATATGCTACTGTTGGCCTTGGATATTTTGGAAGACAAAAATACATAGCTTAGCATGAAGAGACATGATCAGACCAAAGTTGTGAGAGTAGAGTCTGTGGAATGGTGGGAGGGGAAGGCACCTGGTGCTTACTGGTGGGCACTGGGAGGGGCAGGAAAGTTACAGTGGGGAACTTGGAACAACCTAAATCCCTTCACCATTTGCTGAGGAAATCAAAATACTACATATTGATCCTTACCCCTGCATCTCTTTCCTTCAGTCTCTAAACAGAGGGGCCCTTGTAAGGCTATGGGTAATGTGACCATATCGGTTACAGTCTAAGCTCAGATATTTAATTACTCAGAAACAACAGGTGTACCCTGGGCTGACCTGGGACAACTGGGACATGTGATCGCTGTTATGGGATCCCAAAATCAGAATCCGAGTGATATAACATTATTATTTTAAACAAAAGCTTTCTCAGTTCTACATTTACAGATGCGAGTCTGCCCTCAGGGCACCCTCAGATCACGGTAGCTGAGGAAGAGTGGGTCTCCAAGAGACTTAACAGGCTTGCAGACAGGGAGGGAGGGTATTGTTAACAACTGAGAACAGGGTGTTGCTGTTCTGTGTGTGCTGAAAAGGAATCAGCTGAGTGTAGCTGCTGCGGTGAGGCAAGACCCAGCTCAATGTCACCTTCCTTGACACCCAGGAAGAGTTCATTACTCCACCCTTTGCCCTCATCAAGCACAGGCTCACACACCTCCCGTGGCCCACACTCAAAATGCACAACTGCATTTTGTCTGATTGTGGGTCTCCATCCCTCTGTGGCCAAGCTCCTTGAGCTCAGAGGTGGGTCTCTGATCTCAGTGCTCCCGTACCGCCAGCACAGGGCCAACATGTATCACTGGCACCTCATGAGCACCCCAGGAGTGAGTGTGATGGCAGTGTAGACACCTCAGCTGGCCCAGCAGGTGGCTCTGAGATTGTGTGTCTCCCTGTCGTCCCTGGTTATGAAGTTACGTGGTCTTCCTGGTGCCTGTGCTGGGTATGCAGAATAAAGTGGTGCTGGCTTTAACTTCCATATGTTTCTTTCTCTCCTCAGCATCTTTGGGGCCTACAGTATGGATGTGATTACTAGCACATCATTTGGAGTGAACATTGATTCCCTTAACAACCCACAAGATCCCTTCGTGGAAAATGCCAAGAAACTCTTGAGATTTGATTTCCTTGATCCACTCTTTCTCAGCATAAGTATGTGAATACTATGTTTCTGTTCCTTCCATCCTCCTTCCCTTCCTTTCTCACTCTGTCTTCCCTGTCTCTCTTTTTGTCCTTCTTTCTTTTTTTCTAAACAGCTTTACTGAGATTTAATTCACATACCGCATAAATCCATTTACAAAACAATTAAAAGGTTTTGTAACCTAAGCGCTTCAGCAGGTGAACGGATAAAGACAGTACGTATGTATGAGTGTGTGTGTGTGTACACCTCTGTGTGTGTTAACATTGTTGTTAACTCAGCTTTCAGAGTATAAGTTCTGCACTTCTTTTGCTAAAATTATTCCTATGTATTCAATGCTTTTTATCTTATTTAAGTTGAGTTATTTTCTTAACTTCACTTTTGGACCATTTATTGCAGTATGCATAAATACAATTTATTTTGTATTTGGATCTGGTGTCCTGAAACACTGCTGAACTTCTTTATTAGTTCTAATAGATTTTAGTTGGTACCTTAGGATTTTCTATATATAAGATCACAGTATCTGATAATATAGTTTCACTTCTTCATTTCCAATATGAATGCTTTTTTCTCCCCAAATTCCTCTGGCTAGAGCCTCTAGTACAATATTGACTGGAAGTGGTAAGAGAGATATTCTAGTCTTGTTTCAAAATTTAATGGAAAGCATGCAGTCTTTCACGATAAAGTATGGTGGGTGTTTCATAGGAATCCTTCATAAGATTGAGGAAATTCACTTCTATTCCTAGTTTGATGTTTGTTTTTATCACATAAGGATCTTCAATTTTGTCAAATGCTTTTTCTGCATCTATTGAGATAGTCATGAGATTTTTGTTTTTATTCTATTGATATGGTATATTACATAACTTTGAATTCCTGGGGTAAACTCCCCTTGGTTATGGTATATAATTCCTTTTATATGTTGCTAGATTCAGTTTGCTAGTTTTTGTGATGATTTGTGCATCCATGTTTGTGAGATGTTGGTCTGTAGCTTCCTTTTCTTGTAAAAGCTTTGTCTGGTTTTAGTGTTAGGGTCATACTGGCCTCAAAGATTGAGTTTGGAAGTGTTCCCTTTGGGAGCATTTGTGAAAAGTTTGCTGTTATTAAATATTTGATAGAATTCACCATTGAAACCATCTGGAGCTGACCTTTTGTGTGGGTAGTTTCTTGATTACTAACCAATATTTAAATTTCTATTCAGATGGTCTATTTCTTTTTGCGTCCAATTCTATACTTTCTATCTTTCTAAGGAATTTTTCATTTCTCTAAGCTATCTAATTTATGGGGGTACAACTGATCATAGTATTCCTTTATACTCCTTTTTATTTTTTTTGGTAATAATCTCCCTTTCCATTTCTAATGTTACTAATGAGAATCTTCTGTCGTTTTATCATGGGTGATGTAGCTGAAGGTCTTCTAAAAGAATCAGCTCTTGGTTTCATTGCTCTTTTCTATTACCTTCTATTCTCCATCTTATTAGTCTCTGCTCTAATCTTTAAGTTTCCTTCTGCTGTGGGTGGGCTTGTTCCTGCTCAGCCATTGGCTTGGAAATCTGAGCAAAAGTCATAGAGGGAATGGATCCCGGTTGAAAACTCTGGTAATTTTAATCTTCCATGGGTGTAGAAAATTGTAATTGTTTCAGGTAAATTTTACATTTTCACTGTGCTTTCCTTTTTCCCTACAGTTCTGTTTCCATTCCTTATCCCTGTATTTGAAGTAATCGGTATCAGTCTGTTTCCAAAAAATATTACTGATTTTTTCACAAAATCTGTAAAAAGGATTAAAGAAAGTCGCCTCAAAGATACACAAAAGGTAAAATCTGGTGGCAGTTACATGGGGCTCACTTTTTGATGATGTGTTCAACTGTATACTTTTGGTTTGTGTACATCTCACATAGTCTTAAGGTTGCTAGAGAACTCCAGGGTTTAGGATAGGAGAGTTATACCAATTTGGTGGGAATGAAGAAGATAGATTTGGGGAAGGACATGAGAAAATGAGTCAGAGACACAGTTTAAATTTAATATACACTTGACAGCATATCACTGAATGAATATTGTAGAGATGAAAACTTCAGCACTTTCCTTCAAGAAATTGTCAAAGGATAAAAATTAACATTTCAAGATCATTTTGCTATTCTCATAATTCCCCCAAATCTTAGATTGGCAAAGAATCACTTCAATCACTTCCAATCCTGTTATTTTACACATTTTCTAATGGAAGCCATATCAGGCTACCTAGTGGAGCACAACATGTTAAATTGACCCTGTCATGATGTGGACATGGCCAGGAATCTTCGCTGGACATTGAGGCTGCAGGCCGGCTAACACAGCTTTCCTTCATGAGGCCTGGACACCAGCAGAATGATGTCTGCAGGCCAGGAGACAGGGCCGGGTTCCCAGGATGGCACTGTAGGTTGTGTAGACTTCAGGGAGGGTGGGGCACTTCACGACGCTCACACGAAAGCTATGGGTGAACACTGCAAAGCCACACGTTAATCTGTGTGGCTCTTCATTAAGCAGTAAGGCTGGAGAAAATTAAAAGGATTAAAATCAGGACTTCATCCTGAGCATCAGACAGGATGGGAAAGGTGCGGGCACCTCGATGGGCAGGAAGCGGTGTTCAAAAGCCAGAGAGACCAAGAATCAGAGGAGGCAATAACGGAAAAGCAGCTGGACAGGATGGCTGGATTCCTCTCAGGGAAACATCCTGCTCTCCCAGATGTGTAGCTGAATATTTTTGTTCACTGATGACCCCACTCAGAATCTGGACTTGAAGGGGCCATGTTTTCAGGGAAGAGTTTAAGTACTGGCTGATTTCTGACTTCACAAGTGACTCCCAGTTTGAGATTTCTCTTTCTACTGCTAGAACCGAGTGGATCTTCTTCAGCTGATGATTAACTCCCAGAATTCCAAAGAAGTGGACGGCCATAAAGGTAACCAAGAAGGGCTTCAGAGGGCCTGCTATAGGGGGGCTCAAAGGCAGGGGTGGTTCTGAAGACAAGCAGGAAGTTTTCTGGGCAGATGAGAATTTCTGCCACATTGCAGAAAGGCACTTATTAAATTTAACATGTAGCAAGAAGCACATTCCAGAAGCATGCAGGCAAACTCTGTAGAAGGCTTGGAGGCAATCATAAACTATTTTGTGCCGAGATGTCCAGCTGTGGTCTGTGCATCACCTACATCAGGACCTCGATGGTGCCTTTCTTCAATATGAGTTCTCAGGCCTCACCCAGATGCACTGAATCAGAACCTCTGCCTGGAGATTTGCATCAAGGCTTCATCATATCAGGAAGTACATTGCCTCTGGGTGGCCTCTAGAATTTACAGCAGGAGAGTGTGAACACTTTGCAAGCAGGTGGACGTAGGGGAAGGAAATAAGAGAATGGGTCAGAGACACAATGTTTAATACTAATAATAGGCATGACTTGGAGCACTTTAAGTTGTGTTCACCAGCTTAATCAACTGTAAGCTTTATTTATCCCTTTTTAATTAAAAGTAACTGTGAGAGAGGACTGTAAGCCTATATAACTACTCTGTTCCTCCTCAAACTTTCACTGTCTAGTTTTATCACCCATGGATGATTTTTTACTCAAATCATCACTATGATGACTGAAAAATGAACTTTCAAATTCCATCACTTGTTCTACATTTATGAGGTAATATTCCATTGTCAGGGAGAGGTTCCCATTCTCCTGCATTTATTTACTATTTCTTTTTGTAAGAAAGATCTCATAAATTACTAATTTATTGTCTCATGTTATTCTTTGCTTTGATCCTCAAGTTCTCACAAGGTGTGTCCACTGAAAAGCCTTCCAAGTGGGCTTTCATGTAATTTTTCTTCTTCTTCTAAAAATTATTTTATTTACAGTAACTTTGTTCTTATCTATATATAGCAACAGTAGAAACTACACTGTTATAGTTCCATGGCAATGAGCAGAAGGCACAGCTGTTTCCAGCACACTCCCTACCCACTTCCCACACAGCCCCCCTCACTGTCAAACCCCTCCCAGGAGTGGATCTTTGTCACACTTGGTGAACCTGCAATAGCACATTATTATCCCCCAAAGTCCATACTTTACATTAAGGTTCACTCTTGGTGTATATTCTATGGGTTTTCAGAGATGTAGAGTGATGTGTATCTCCCATTAGTATGTACACTATCTTGTTTCCTTTCACATACCATTTTTCTGAGCTCTTCTTGGCTTTCTAGTGGGAGACATTCCAGATTTCTCTTCTATTTCCCCTGACAAAATCTGGAATCTACCATTTCTCCAAGAGGCCTAGGTTCTTTTTGGTGAGACATGGTATTTAGAAACCAAAATATGGGATGTAGGAGTGCTCACTGTTACTAGGATTTCTTGGCTTCTAGATCTTCTCAGTGCACAAAGCTGAGAACATCAAATATATTTACACACGACTGATAAACATACATATTTCCTTATCTACCCATAACCGTTGCTGTAGACATGTTGTCTCTCAACAACAGCAAAAAAGAACTGATCCATAGTTTACTCCTGTGACATAAATTCTCCCTTCATGATTAATTTTAAGCTGTCAATGATTTGACAACCATGTCAGAAAGTTCCTGAAAATTTAACAACTGGTTGTAGAGAATAAAGATGATACCAGCATAGTACTAAAATATATCTGTATCTATGTCTACATCTAGTTATATCTCTGAATCTGTTATTCTACCAATCAATCTATCTACATAGTCCAAAAGAACTTTTTGTGATGACGTAGTCTACATCTGCTCTGTTCAATGCAATAATCACTAGACACATGTAGCTATTGCACACTTCACATATGGCTAGTGCTGCTGAAGAGATGAAACTTGTATTATATTTAACTTCTAGTCGACTGAATCAAAATTTAAATATCCACATGGGGCTAGTGGCTAACATACTGAAAGCAGAGTTCAGAGTGCTAAGCTTTGAGTATCATGGGTTTTGTGTAACCCTATGGGGTGAAGAATTTTCTAGAGGAATTCACCCATAACAGCATCCTAGAAGCTACATTAGGAAATAAGAACTCTGTAAACCTTTCTTACATGCATTTCGCATTCTTTTTAGTTGTGAGACACATGGTTGGGGCAGGTGCCATGTTCATTTCAGTGCTTAACTATCTAAAGGTTCTAATATAGTCCCAATCAAATAGATTAGACCCTGACCATCCTTAGATTGTCCCAGGAAAAAATCAAGAGGAAGACCAACTTATGTTCACAAGGGCTGTTTGCTGAGCATGATGTAGAGCAGAGAATGGGGACATGTGCTAAGGAAGGTGACATTCAGGTCATGGTTGAATAAGCACTGCTGACCCTGCTCACTGGGCCCTGTGTTTCTATATTTCATGCTGGTCAGTGCCCTTTTAATGATACATTCTTTCTTCTGCTATTCTAAGCCATTTTTTAGGGTAGGATCAATCACCATTCTTCTAGCTTTTGTCCATGTCTGTACTTTTTGTTTGTTATGGAGATCATTCATTGAACACCTGTGCCTTTGGTCTTCTGTTACCTGATGCCTCTCAAAGGTATAATAATTCATGTTTCCTAAGCATATTATATGATTTTCTGTTATCAAAATAGTGCCAAATAAAAATCACACACAAAGTATGCACACAAACCACCCATACCAAGAATGTTCAGATTTTGGTTCAATAGTTCTATGGTGGAGTTTGATTTTCTGCATTTTGAATAAGTTCCCAGGAACTACTGATATTGCTGGTCCGTGGACCACACATTAAGTAGCAAGAGTTATCTGTAGCCCAGTATTGTTCTCTTAAGTATAAGGAAACATGTTTAGATGAAAGATCTTTAACTTCTCCTAACTATTAAGCCTTGTATTACAAAACCTCTCAACAAAATCAACTATATTACTTAGAATTATTTACATTTTTCCTGGAGGAGAATGCTATCCCATATCCTCAAGTACTTTTAGGATTCTCCAAGGGACATGCTGATCACAGCATATATCTTAGACAGGAATACTAACTCATGAAATTACCCATTCACATTGCAGGGAAGGGTGCCATAACCAACCACAGAAGACCAAGAATAGTATTAGCTTCGGGAAACACTGAATCAAGACCACTTTTGCCTTTTTTGGTTCTGAAAGATACACATCAGCATGCAAACCACCCCCAGTTGGACTCTGAATTGCATTTCCATTTTTTCCTTAATGATTTGGGAGTTCAATTTTGATTTCTCCTCATCTAACCTGTAGTGTTGTACCTTCACTTGCTGTATCTAAATGTCTTTCTCTTCTTTTAGCTCTGACTGATATGGAGCTTGTGGCCCAATCTATTATCTTTATTTTTGCTGGCTATGAGACAACTAGCAGTGTTCTTTCCTTCCTTACATATTTATTGGCCACTCACCCTGATGTCCAGCAGAAACTGCAGGAGGAGATTGATGCAACTTTCCCAAATAAGGTGAGAGGGTGATACCCAGAGAGGGTGGGAGAAGCTGTAGGTTTGGTAAGAAGGTCTCACCATTTCCTAGGAGGATTTTTGCAAAACACAGGAGCATTAATTCTTACACTTTCATATTTAGGAAGGATTTATGGAGATAAAGGGAGAAATGTAGGTAAAATACATTATTCACAGAAATGTAAGATCTTTGAGAAAAATGCACTGGTGCTAGTATACAGTTATCTGTTACCAAAATACTGCCAAATAAAAATCACACACAAAGTATTTGTGGCGCCTAACATTAAGCATTTATTGCTCAAGTGTCTAGATAGCTTTCTCTGTTAGCATTTGCTTGACCCGCCTTCGTCTGGCTGTTGGCTGGTCTAGGCTGGCCCTGGCTAGGCTGGCAGGGCTGACTCAGCCCCACACCCATGCATCCATGCATCTCTCCTATTCCAGAAAACTAGCCTGGTGTGTTATTCTCGGGGCAGTAACAGACAGCTAGAGCAAGAAGCCCAATCTGTGGGTGCCCTTCTAAACTCTGCTTGCATCACACTTGGCCAACACTCCAGTGCTTCAAAGCAGGCCACATGGTCAACCCCAGAGTCAGAATGGAAGGACACCACCACATTAGAGGGCAAAGGGCACAAACACAGGAGGGGTCAAGAAATGGGGCCATTCATGCAGTTTACCACACTGGGTAATTTTGCTGAACAGGAGAGGCTTGGCATGTAGGAAAGAGCATCAGGTAGGATATAGAACACATGCATTTAAGTCCTGACTCTCGTTTCCACAAGGTTATCACCTTCCTAAGTCATAGGTCCTTCAAAAATAAGGTAAGGATACATTTTGGGGCCTACCTAAATGAGAATTTTATTTCCTTTGTGGTAAAGCCCATATTGGGATCCTTTCAATTGCAATAAGATGGAAAGGTCACTATGAGACAGAGCCTAGCTAGAGTACTGTGTTCCCCATTTTTATAATAATAATTAGAGTCTTAGCAACAACACTATTACCTCACATTTGCTTCTTACTATGTATGTCTGTTTTCAATGCTTTATACTTATAAATGAATTCAATCTTCCTAAAATTATTTAATAGGATAGGCCAGGATATGTTTCAGGAACAGATGAACCCTCCAATCTCAGTGGCTTTACAAAGAAAAGGTTTGCTTCTAACTCATATTTCTATGTCCAACATGGATTATAGGTGGAGGATGGGTGTGTGAGTATCTGCTCCACATAGTTACTCAGGGATTCACGCTAAAGAGGCTCCGCTTTCTTACAGCACCATTCTCTGGAATGTGAAGAGTTCTTGTTGGCTGGAGAATAAAGACCTAGTGTAGTGCTTACTGCCTTTCCAAATGTTTTGACCCCAAAGTGACATATATCCCCTCTGTTCATAGTCCATTTGCAAGGTCGTGTTCCCTAACTTCAGGTTCACTTGGAAATGTGGGGACAACATGGATATTGGGTGACCAGTGAATATCTCTTCCACCAAACCATGTGAAGGACAACTCCTATTATCTGCTAATAACATAAGGAAAAATTGAGCTTCAGAGAGATGAAATATCTTTCATACAGTCTACTGTCATTGTTGGTGAGGAACCCAAGCTGGGGGCTGATGACTGTCTCCCGGGCCAAACACTTAACCTCTACAATGTTGCCCATGAAATATAACACCAGGTGACAGCGACGTATTGCCCAAGCTATTGTCAGGTGTCTCTCTCTTCTCAAACCAGAATTCTTTGTGGTGTGAGGAGACCTGGACTCAGGGACTCATGTGGCTTGTCTGAGATATTCAGAATTTATGGTCAAACCCGGCAGTGAAAAATGGGAGATTATTCCAGCAACAGAGGAAGGGGCTGTGGGTGGGTTCTAATCCTCCTTATGACATCCTCAAGAGCTAAAACGGTGTGCCAGGCAGCAGCTATTCATGCTCTTCGTTTGTCATATCAGGTATAGCAAGGAAGTAATTTCTCCCCAATTTATAGAGATTTTGTGTAATTGAGTGTTTCCAAATTCTACATATATAATCATAGAGTTAGCTAGTAAGTAGGATTTTTCTACTACAAACTTTACATTGAATAGGGGAGTTGCTCTTTTACATGTTCTCTCTCCTTGGTACAGATGCACAAGCTCTCTTGTGAAAGGAAACAGTGACATTGGCATACTTCACTTAGCAGTGAGGGTCATGGTATTGAGCCACTTTGTCCAAATGATAAAAACCACTACATGGTAATGTGAGGGGTTTCAGGGGGTGTTTAGGGATTGTCACAGTGGTCTCCCATTGTCCTAACTTCTCCACACATATAATGGGCTATTAAGCAGTTAAAGGACATGATAGATATTAAAATGTGTATAAGTAGGAAGGTCCTTTATCAAAATGAATTATCCCTTGGAGTTCCTAATGCTCCAGCAGTAATGCCTAGACTGAGTTGAAAGTTAATACCAAATCTCACTTTTGGTAAATCTGTTTCTTCCTAGATGCTACCTTCCTACGATGCCCTGGTGCAGATGGAGTACCTTGACATGGTGGTGAATGAATCTCTCAGATTATTCCCAGTTGCTGGTAGACTTGAGTGACTC